CCTTGCCCCCTTTGCCCGAATGATTGCCCTCTTTTTGAGACTCTAAGTGGTTCATTTTTGATAACCGACGTTCACACAAAATGTACTCTTCATAAACAGCTAATTGTGTTAGGGATACACAGTCAGTTCTTGGCTCACGGAAATCTGTTCTATAAACCCTTGCGTATGTCGAATTTTGCTTCACATATCGTTCAGGATACCATACAGCAAAAAAAACACACAAGCCAAAAATATCCTAGCAATACATACTAACGAACTCATTAAACAAATGATCAGATTGGGTTTTAATATATTTTCAATGTGTGCTTCTGTAACCTCTCTATATCTCAGATTTTGCAGATTTTTTTTTTGCAGCTCTCCGGATTTACGTAAATTAAGAGCCGCCTGCATTTAAACTTGCATCTTTAATCTTGAGTAAACTGAAAAACGTCAAATAGCTAAAATGAAAAAAAGTTCTGCAGCCAATGAAAGTGCCCGAGATGTATGCAGGCCGCGCCTCTTTTCTCCGTCTGCCCCTTTAACCATGCAGCATGTCACTAGGGGCGTGGCCGACTCTCCACAGGTAGAGTAGATCTCAGGTATCTTGCTCCAGCTCCTCAGTCTCGCCTGACGACACCCCTCTTTACACGTTGCTGTTATTTGTCCTAGAGATTCTTTTTCCGGAGCTTTCTCATTCCCCAGAAGACATTATCAATGGTATGTGGTGGGGGGGGCCTGGCCTAGGGTCTGACCCGAACCTTCCGTGGGATCAGAGACGCGCATGTGGGTAATTATGAAGCTCCCTTTCGCTTGACACATAAATTTATAGTTACGGCTGCTCTACGTATGTTGTGCCGCCGGGGTGAATTAAGGAGGTGGTGAGTTGCGAGAGAGACACACACGCACGCACACATACACGCGAGAAGAGATGCCGGTGGTTAAAGTGGAGAAAGACCCATCCCCGGATGCCTCGGAGGTCTCCCTGTCGGCCATCCACGCCTCCCCCGAGGAGCCCCAGCGAGGTCGTCGCCGGAAACGGCCGCTACAGCGGGGCAAGCCCCCCTACAGCTACATTGCCCTCATCTCCATGGCAATTGCCAATGCCCCGGACCGCAGGCTCACGCTTGGAGGCATCTACAAGTTCATCACAGAGCGCTTCCCCTTCTACCGCGACAACTCCAAGAAATGGCAGAACTCCATCCGCCATAACTTGACGCTTAACGACTGCTTCATTAAGATCCCGCGGGAGCCCGGACGGCCCGGCAAGGGCAACTACTGGACTCTGGACCCTAACGCCGAGGACATGTTCGAGAGCGGCAGTTTCCTGCGCCGGAGGAAACGCTTCAAGCGGTGCGACTTCACCACCTACTCGGCGTACGTCCCTGAGCCCCCAGCTTTTGCCTCCATGCAGATCTCCAGAGCGGCTTATGGTGGCCCCGTCTATTCGAACATGACTGTGAGTCCGCCATACAGCCAACAGGTGGCACCCTCGTGCTACCCCTCCTCCCCGGCAGCTTTTGGCACTGGCCAGTCTCGGATGTTCAGCATCAACACCATCATCGGGCACCATGGGGGCCTTGGTTCAGGAGGGGACCTTGTCCAGCAGCCCGGCCGAAGTTTCAGCCCCGACTTGGGCTCTGTGGGCAGCTCGTGCAGCCTGAGCAATGTGGATTTCCAGACACAGTCCTGCGGTGGGGCCGTGCTGTCGCGCTCCGCCAGTCACATGGCGTTCCCATACTCTGTCCAAAACGGACACCTGTCCATGCAAAGTGCATATCCGCAAGGCAGTAGCCAGATCTACGGCACCACCAGTCGCCTGGGAATTCCCAGTTCTCCCAGTGTCACCAGTGATACGATGGACCCCTATGGGAGGATGTCACCTGGTCAGCTGTCCTCTTTAGCACCATATAACAACACTAGCACCATACCCAGTGCCAGTAGTTACCTGAGACCCCCAACGTACACGGGTAACATGGAGAGGTTTGTGTCTGCAGTGTGATGTCTGGGAAGATAATTGCCTGGCCTTGGGAAGCCAGTTTAGTGAATTTGTTTTGTTTTTTTTGGAGATGTGGCATGTATGTTACGTAATGGTGATGGAACATTCTGGAGGGGGGAATCTGTTTATTTTGTTTGCCGTGTAACCGCCGACATGAAATGTGCTCCCAGGTTTCAAATTGTACATTCCCAGCGACAAAGGCGTGAAGCAAGCAAGAAGTTAGAAACTGGTTTTCGAATACCAGTAAATCTAAAAAAAATTGTCCTTTTATACTCCAAACATGGTGGAGCTCTGGATTCTGAGATCGTGTAAGTCTGTAAAAGCGAGAAGGTTTCAATATCCTCTCAAGCGCTGCTGTTTGATCAAGTTGGGCTCGTCAGTCAGATTCTGGAGGTGTTTTCTGGTGTTTGGTTGTATAACAATATGTTTTTTTGTACCGAAATTAGGTCTGAGATGTTTATATTAAACTTGTATGAAAGTGATTCAGCAGTTTTGAATTTAGGTTTTCTGTACATATTTATATTTTTCAAAGCTTTGTAAATTATTTTGATGCCTATCTTTAAACATATTTTCAGAAAATTCGTCCATAGAAAACTTTTGTTTTGAAAGATTTCTGTTCTGTTATTATTGTGTATGATCATGTAATGATTCCCAAAAAGTGAATTAGCTCCAGAAATCCAGAAACCTTTGAATAACCATAAAAAGCTTTACGCCTCACTTTGCATGAACGTCCTCTTCACATGGTGGCAGTTGTGCTTTTTTCAGTATTATTTATCATGAAAGTTCCAGAAATCCACAAGTGTATTCTGTAAGGATATAATTGCGGTTATTGACAAAAGCAGATTTATATTTTGAAACTTTATTTTGCTGTTATCCAGACCAGCATTGCACTCTGCTCAGTATTATAACTGTTCATTCCTTTTTTTTCAATAACCATTTACTAAAACAATTGGCTACAACTTTCGCATAAGCTGCAGGAAAATAAATTTGAATAACATTTGAGACTTAATTTTAGGCGGACATGGTCCATAGATGTGGCAGAAAATGGCCTGTAGTTTCTCCATTTCATAAAGATAGTCATTTTTAAGATATTCCGAGGTTACGTGAGCTAATTATTACCGTTTCGTGTTTTAGGCAAAGCACTTTATTCAGCCGGCCGTGACATGCTTTGTACCTCTTACATCACTTACTGAGGGGGACGGCTGGAGTCCCTCCCAGGCAGAATAGGGCATAGGGGTACACCCTGGATGGGATGCTAGACCCTCACTTCCAGACAGCAGTTAATCCAGCCACATTCCCCATTTCAGCACTAACATTAGTTAACCCACTTGGGAAAATGAAGATAAGCTTGTTTATTCTTGCGCTTTCACAATCGCACATCATGTCTGTTAAATAAATGTATATTTCGATGTTATACATTAGAGTAAATGACATTAAATGCAGATTTAGGCGACTTTTCGATCATGGGTGAGGAGACCTGACCTGCTCCCCCATGAGCAACAACATTCAGGGCCACCCCTGAACTGAAGCAGCAGCTCAGACCCGCCTCATTGCATCAGAGCACAGCTGAACAGAATAGCAGCACCCAGGGTGGGTGGGCAGAGCCCAAATGGGGCCATCGTCCTTAATCATGGAATATTGTGTGGAGGGTCTTAGAGCCCAGCCGCTACTCTGCATTCAGCACGCTTAAGGTGAATTATAAGGGAAATATGAAAAGAAAAAAAAAAACTCATGTATTAAATCAGTTTACAATTAAATATAAACTTATGTACTTCTACAGGGCACTACATAAGTTTTACAAATATTCTCAGAATACGTAAAATTCTAATGTATGTGACAAAGTTTCACATAAGTCTACTTAACCAATTGAAGGTCAGCTTATTAATTTTATGTTTAGGCAGCCACAATTACTGCTTTTAAATGCAGGCGGCTCTTTATTAATTGAAGCAATATTTTTTAAAAAAAGTACCAGATTTTAGCAGGACTTGACACATACAATCATTAGTTACTGTTGAAGGTGAATATAGGTTAATAATCGTATAACATGAAACAATTCTCAAGCCAGGACACATGGAACAAAGACATGTATTCAGTACAAAATTTGCTTCTTTTCACATTTTTATTTTGACGAAAAAGAGCATCAAGAATATTTTAATGTCCGACCTGCTGCATAAACCGCATGCTATTTGAAATGCCATGACACCTTTATGGAGCAACTTTAGTCTACCAAAACATTCCCAAAATAGGAGATTTAGATAGTAGGGGGCAAAATTAGGTACATTTAACATGTTTCTGCAAGGTACAACAGCAAAAAAACACTGCATGAGAGCACCAGCACTGCATGAGAGCACATTAAAAACACTGATGCCTGGGAGCCTCTCAGCATTAATGAAACTAAATTCCCCATCAAGGTAAAAATACCATATAAAGCAAGGCGCCCCCTATTGTTACTCAGCAGAATGGCACAGACCGACAGCATAAACCACAGTACTGACAAAGACTGACATGTAACACAGACACCAATAATGGCAAGATGTGCTTTTAAATGTAACTTAAATGTATCAGCACCACCCAGTGGAAAACTAAACCTCCATATTTGGGGAATGTTAACAGCAAACAGAAGAAACAAATCTTTAATTCAAAGTAAGTGCTGATTGCTGGAGGGGGGGGTGCAGTGGTCAGCAGTGTAGCCTCACACCTCTGTGACCTGGGTTCAGGTCTCCCCCATGTGTGTGGTTTGCATGTTGTCACCCCCCAGTCCAAAAACATGCTGAGGCTAATTGCATATACCAAATTGCCCATAGGTGTGCGTTGTGTGAGTGTGCCCTGTGATGGGTTGGCACCCCACCCTGGGTGTGTGAGTGTGCCCTGTGATGGGTTGGCACCCCACCCTGGGTGTGTGAGTGTGCCCTGTGATGGGTTGGCACCCCACCCTGGGTGTGTGAGTGTGCCCTGTGATGGGTTGGCACCCCACCCTGGTTTGCTCCCAGGATGTTCCCAAAATAATTCAAAACTCCTCACTGGATTTATTTTACAGTTAAGTTTATTAAGTTTTAGTATATAAAACAACACATAAGACCATTTCAGAAGTAACTTTCATAATTGTGGTTTTACATAAAAGGATTCCACAATTATCCAAGGTATTCCGCAAGTCTTTGCAATTCCTGGCAACCCTGCACCACAGCTGGAACAGAGGAGAGTGTCTGTGGAGACACAGAGACATGGTCGGATCATAACTAGATATGCCCACTGGACATCCAGCAGATGTACAGATACACATTGCTGAGAGCTGAAGCAACAGAGTCAGGTCCGGCCCAAACTGGCCCCAAGCTTCAGCCGCCGGTCCCTACCTTTCTCACGGTCTCTATCATCTCATCCAGTAGCTGCAGCTCCCGTTCCACTTTCCTCTGGTTGGTTTCATGGACCAGCCGCTGAAAGGGATCCGGCAGGATCATTAGTGAACAAGGCCAGCAGGGACCCAGTGGATGAGTTTGTGGACCAACCAGCAACCCCCATGCCCCCGATCCTACACTCACGTGTCTCTTGGCTCGTTCCACGAGTTTAAATCTGCTGTCCTCAGACTCTGCAAGGCAATTCTTAAGCCTCTCCACCTTCGGGTAAAATAACCACATCCAGTTAGGCTCACACACACAGAAAGGTGATCAGCCGTGGACCGCTACCTCCATCTGAGAGCCCCACCTCACTCCGCAACAGGATCTTCTCGTTAAGACCCTCGAGGTTGGGTGCCGACTGGCCACTAGCCTTGGCAAGCTCCTCCCTCAAGGTCTGCGCCTCCAGCTGGGTCCGCTGCAGGGAGAGCTGCAGCCCTGAGACCTCCCTACGCAGCTCCTGCGGGAGGCCAGGGCCCAGACCGGACACCGTGTCAGCCAGCTAACAGCACGCCATTAACGTCTTGTAACTCACCAACGGGTTAATCTGGGAAATGCGTCTTACAGTATTTTCGGCCCGGTGCATATTCAGGAGCTCCTGGCTTTGGTCCATCTCCACGCAAAGCTGCTTCAGCGCTTTCTCGTCCTACGCGAGAAGGGAGATGGTATTTCGAACCATCGCCATTTTCCCGGTCATTCCACCCACGAAGGATCATGCAGGCTTACACCAGATGAATGCTACCAAATTACACAGTCGAGTCAAAGAACCCAAACTCTCCCCCTTGTCCCCAATTCACCTGGGCCCTCTGTTGCAGTGCCACTGCATTATGGTCCACCTGTGCCTGAAGGCGGCTGTTCTGCTCCTTCAGGTCGGAGACTTCACACTCGTGATTGTGAGAGAGTGCCTGCAGCTCCCTCTGTAGGCAGGCACTGGAACAAATGCCACAAACGCAATATTCATAGATGTAACTGTGGCTCATATTTAATACCACGTCATGAACCAAAGGATGTGCATTTACGGTCACCCTCCAACCCACAGACACCTACACAGTCTGCTGCAGCTCGGCTTGCTTGGCGTCCTGCAGCTCCCGCAGCTGTCCAGCGGAGGCACCGAGCTCAGACATGGCCTCCCCCAACCCTGAGAGCAACTCCAGCACATTGTTCTGATCCTCTTCTGGTGGGAGAGCCAAAATAAGCTTGCTGAGCTCTCAGCAGAGCCAACCACACTACAGATGGGGGGCGAAGAGGGGCGGAGCCTCGTACCTTCCTCCTTCTTTGGAGTGGTGGGACTGATGCGAGTGAATGCGCTACTTCTGCTGCCCATCTCCTCCTGCATGCTCCCCCCTGCGGCAGCTGAAGCACAGTGTACCACGTTAACCCCAAAGCAACTAACACAGGGGTGTAAAAACACCTGGGCGGGCCTTCCTCAGATCCCGCAGACACTGCACCGCTCCTCTTCCTCCTACCGGTCTCACAGTGCGGCATCTCGTCGGCAGAGATGGCATCCATGACCGTGTCCAGGAAGGACGTGCCGACGCGGCGTGGCATCGCGGCTGACTGGTCCTTGGGGGCTCCATCCGTCTTCTCCTTGTAGAGAAGGGGAGAAGATCCAGGATGGCAGCACAGTCTTTGAATGATGAACCGTGGGATCAAATGTATCCTAGGAGGGACTTACACCCTGTTCATCAGGATTACATCAATTAGTGAATTAACTGTTAACTAAATAACTGCTTCTCTTAGAGAATTCCAGCTACATAAGTGCACAAAACTCCATGTGATGAACATACATGATCTATGTAAACTGAGCCTTCAAACCAGCATCTGTATGTCAGTGGTGCAGAAGGGACACGAAGCCCAGGCAGATTCTGAGGGCCCAGCACTTTAAAGGGGCCCTTTATATAATGTTAGGGAGATGGTGAGGGACATTTCTCAGGGGCCCCAGAATTTCCAGCTTCACCCCTGCATGCAGCGTTCAGGTATTTCCGCTCTGCCAGCTCATCACTCACTGGGGGGAGAAACCTGCCTAAACAGGGTAAGATTTATTCAAATAAATGAGCTTAATAGCTCCGCTGGGCCAAAAACCCACAGCACTGCGGGAAACCAGGAGCAGAACTGGGAACCACGTATTAATATGTAGACAAAAGAGCCATTCCCACAAGAGCATGCAGGCGGAATGAGCAGGCGGCCTCACCCCATCGGAGAGCGCCCCCTGCAGGCTGGTGGTGAGACCTCTCACTCGGTGGTGCAGAAGAGCCACTTCCACAGAGGCCTGGACCAGCTGCTCGCCCATACCCAGCAGCATGCGGCGTGCCCTTTCCTGGGTGCTGTCCAGCTCCTCCTGAATGGAGTCACGTTCCCTCCTGTAGGGGGAGCAGGTGAGCGGCACAGAGCACACCCATCAAACTTCCATTCCTGTTTTTTTTTTTTTTGTACATGAATCTCAGTTTTTTTATTTCTGGTATTCCCACCGTTATATAATTGAAGTAGCTGTTTGGGGGGGGGAGGCACAAATATACACTTAATGAGTGAAAAGCAAGCACACCTCCCCCAGCAATAGTTCAGTCTGGTATCTACAGCATGCTACGGATGCCCAGAAGGCTCCAAAAAGACAAAAGGCAGAGCTGGAAGCGCTCACTGGAGGTGAGTGAGGGCTTGCTTCAGGTCCTCGCACTCCAGATTCCTCTCCCTCAGGCCCTGCAGGTGCGAGCGGAGCAGGCCCTCGGTCTCCGCCACCTGCTCCCGGGACAGCTCATTCTCAGCCTGCAGGAACTGCCCCGCCACGGCAGCGGGTGCGAACAGAGCGTCAGCGTTAACTGCCACGCAGGTCAAATGTGCCACCCCCACCCAGTGTGAGAGGTGCCATTTGGAAGGGCGAGGCAGAGACGCCCCTCTAAGTCAGGGGGCCAGGTGGTGACCGTTTAAATGCATCATTAAAAATTTAAAACATAGCGCTACAGGTTTGGATGAGCAGGGGGCGCCCTCACTTCATTCATCTCCCTGGCAGTGCCCAGCTGCATCTTGGTCTCCTGGTGATGCCGCAGCTGCTGGACGTGGCCCTCAGCCTGCCTCTGCAGCTCCTCCAGCTGCTGGTCTCGCTCGGCCAGGGCCTGACCCAGTGCCTTAATCTGGTCCTGAGACTGGCCAAGATCTGCCTCCAAGCTGGGGGCGAGGGGGTACAGGCCGTTAGAGCGGGACAAAACTCAGGATGCTGGTCTTGTAGGTCTGCTTTAAGTGTAAATCCTGATTTTACAGCTGGCATATTCACAAAACACTGACTTTCTGATTTCCAGGCAAATCTAAACTCCAAACCAGACATTTCTGAGGTAGTTGCCCATCTAGATACAGGGAAACATTGGTTAGTAAATATCTATTGAGGGTGGCAGAGAGGTACTGACCTGTGGATGCATTCAGTGGCCTCTCTCACTTCTTCAGACGCCTGCTGTGACCTGTGAACACACGCCAGAGATGACAAAGAGCAGCCAGATTGGGAGCGGCAGGCAGGCTGGCCCGCCCTGACGGCACCGGGCTGAGCCCATGCCAGAGGGGTCACCATGCGGAGATCTACAGCCTGAGGTAACGCACTTGTGGGTCTCGTCGGCCAAGGCCTGCTGCAGGAAGGCGTAGGAGGCCTGGATGGACGACACGGAGGCGGACATCTCCGTATTCTTCATCCGCAGCCCGTCGCGCTCTTCCTCTGCCTCGTTCAGCCGTTGCCGCAGCACGGACATCTCTGAGGAAAAAGCACATGGGGACCAGGAGAGGCAAACATTTGCATTTTTAATCACTTGGGACGAAAGCAACAGCTTGCTTTCTGTGGAGAAGAGGAAGCCAAGTCTAAATCAAAGTATCATTCAATTTTTATTCCAAATACAATACCGATTGTCTTAAGATAAACGCACAATATCCCACACTGAACTGAGTTGCCTGTTTATTAAACCTACTGGTAAAGTATTAGTGCATCAGCTGTAGAATTCTAGCTTGCCACATGGAAGGCTCGGACCCTATTCCCAGCCTAAGTAGATCCTCATTGGAAGTGGTATGTGGTTCTGCAGGTTAGAACCCGTGACAGGAAGGTCGCCGGTTCAAATCCCAAGGCTGGCAGAATGATGTCACTGTTGGGCCTTTGTAAGGACCTTAATCCCCAATTGCTACAGGGACTCTCTCACCCTGCTTTCGGAAATCTATGTCACTTTGGATAAACGAGTCTGCCAAATACATAAAACACTGTTGTTCCCACACACCCACCTGAGTTCCTGATGGCCATCTGCAGATTGAGATCCCCAATCTGCTGGTTAGCTTCCTGGAAGTCCGATACCATCCGGGCCAATTCAACTTCCATCTGAAACAGTCACAGGGCATTTTAAAAATGGGGTCGACCTGATGGTTGTTTGGTGACAGGAGAGCAGTAACAAAAGGTCACTAAGAGCTAGAGCTTAGATCGGGCCCAAAAAATTAAACCCGATCCTACCCGAGCCCGTGCACCTTGTGTCCGAGCCCGACCCGGTCCGACACATTAACTGTAATTATGAGCCCGAGCCCGATTTAAACCCGACTATTTTTTAATACGTGAGCCGTTGTAACAGACGTTCTCAACTACAATTCTAAGTTGTTTGAACTACAGAAATTAGTTTAGATTTATCTTAATGAAAAATGCAACAAGGACGAAGCATGTAAACTGCATTGTTTGTTTATTCAGAATGGATCGCAAATAGATCCGAATGAAAAAAAAACGTGAACAATGATAAACACAGAAAATGAACAAGTAATTAACTTTGGATGGCATATTTAATAAATATGATAAGTTTTAGAATATTTTTAAACAAAATAGGTAATAGCGGAACTGTTGTTCTGATGTCCGCAATTATTGAGACACGTTTAGAAGAAAAGCACGTTTTCACTTATCCAGTTCGCTTGCTGCTGGAACCAGTTTGTGTGCTCGGCATCGAACTTTAAGTAAAGGGTTAAGAAAAAGGTTAAATCCTTCCGTAAGCAGCCAACGAGGTATGTGTTAATTAAGTTTTAGTTAAGTTTGTTGTATTTAGCCATGTAAATGTAAATGCTAACTGAGGTTCGTGTTAACTGTATATGAATTCTCTAAGCTGTCTTTATTGTTATTTATGTTTATATTTCATTTGAATTTCAATGTTTGTTAGCTAATATTGTAAGTAAATGTGCTTGATTTTGTGTTTCCGTATCTGTATTTAGTTCTCACGTCTGCCATGATGGTGATAATAACGAAGCCACTGTCTTTCGAATAAACCGTCGGCTCAGTTAAATGCAAAGGACTCTTGTGCTCGTGTCTTACGGGAGGGAGCTACATTTATAATTATGGCATAGCTCTCCACCCAATTAGGCTAATTAAGTAATGATTTAAAAAAAAACACCACACACAAATGCTTGATCATGGCCCCGCCCAGCCCGGCCCGGCCCGGCCCGGCCCGAAGATAGTGGCAGGAAATATCGGCCCGACCCGGCCCACGGGTCGGGTCGGGTCAAGTCTGGGCTCGGCCTCGGGCAGAGAATCTAAACTCTACTAAGAGCCCGTTTTCACCAGTATGGTGTCAGTGCGGGGCCTTTTCCCAGTCCAGAACTGGTTCTGTGCTTTTCCACCGCAGAAAACTGGCCCTGGGCCAGAAGAAACGGCTCCGGCATGGCACCATGAAAATGCTGTTCTCAGAACCATCTGATCGGGTCCAAATAAACAACCATATTAACTGCCATATTAACAACTGTAAAAGCATCGTAAAAAGGAATCTTTCGGCAATGCTAATTAGGTCACATCTCAGTCAAATCAATGGTTTCAAAGAAAATATATATATACCCATTGTCTTGAAAGCATTCACCATGAATTATTAATACTGCTTGATGTCATTGCTGAAAGAAAACCTGCATACGCAACTTATAGCATCTTAAAAGCAAAGCAAATCATTTTCTTATGGTCTGCAATGACGTTTCACCAGGGAACCAATAAGATACAGCCCAGTACTGGCTCCGCATTGGTGGAAACACGGTATAAGAAGCAGGGGGACGACAGCTCAAGCACAGAGCATGATCCTTCCGATCACTTCCCTTGAATGGTTCTGGCAGACAGCAGGAGTGTCGTTCTCGAATGGAGAAAGGGGGCCCTTGGGCTATACCTCCCTACCCTGATTTTCTCCGCCACCGCCTGGTCCCGCTCCATCCCCCGCGTCTCCGCCTCCCCAAGGGCAGTGGCAGTCCTCTCCCACATCCTCTGCACGATCGGGCCAGCCCTCTGCAGTAGACGTCGAGCTTGACACAACTGCGGGGAGACACGTAAACAAACCGAATGGTTTACACCAGCTCCCAGCCTGCAGCTCACCCAGAGTCTGTCAGGAGAAATCGCATTCTGACCACAACCTGTCGCCGTCTAAACTAACCTCTTCCTGCAGAGAGTTTTGGCTACATATGGAAGACTCCAGAAGTTCATTTGCGGCTTGAAGGGAGTCCACATATTCCTTGTTTAATGAAGCCTAGAGCAAAGAAGGGAGAGAAAATTATATCCGAGGTGTTCAGCTAGAGGTGGGTGTGGCCTGAGTCCGCACAGAAGAGCGGCCCACCTGCTCCAGGTAGGACTTGGTGAGCGCCTCCTTCACCTCCAGGTGAGATCCCAGGTTCTGCTCGAGTGCCGCTATCCTGAAGGCACAGCGAGCCCTCAGCTGCTCTGTCACATCGAAGGCCTGTGTTTGGGGTTAAAGGTTAACAGGGAAATCATCAGAGCATGTGACTGCCCCCCCCCACCCAGCCAATTAACACTGAACCACTCATTTTGTTTCTATACAGGCTGGAGCCATTTTCCACCAGGAAAAACCCCCAGAGGCCACTTAGCAGTGGTAACGACAAGAAAAACACCACCGAAAAATACAAATTTATCATTTAGCCAAACTCAAGAAAACCATATTAATAGTCATAGGATGCTGCTCATTTTCAGGATGTTTAACAATATATTCGGTACAGAAATATGCTGGTTTTGTTTTCAAGCAGCTGAGCTCTTAAAGTTAAGGAAGGTCATTAAAGGTCGGGGGGGGTCATTTTTTTTCTAGAGCCAGGTGTAGTGCTGGGGGGTTTCAAACCGTCACCCGCCCAGAAAGCGAGCGCATACCGCTGCCTTGGCCTGCAGCGCCTCCTCCATCCGCTGCCTCATCTGCTCACGCTCCTGCAGGCAGCCGCTGGCCTTTTCGCCCGTCCTCCGCAGTGCCTCCCTGCACCGCCCGTACAGCGCCCTCATCTGGACCATCTGCATAAAGCCAGCAGGGCCAACCACTCATCACCGACCCATTGGCTAGCTCAGATAAAACTCGTTATGATGCGATCAAATCACATCACTGCCCTCTCCGAGCCAACGAGAGTGAAGCATGTCCGCATCTTATCAATGAAGCGGTCTATGATGCATAGACTCGCCGAATAACCTGCCTGTTTACAGACGTCGTCATGTTCGTCGCTGGCAACATGAGCGATTTCATTCAGCCTAGTCAGAGCATCTTCAGTTTCTGTGCTGGCAGCAACCTGTCAATGAAAACACAGAAAAAGAAAGGATAAGATGAAAGGAGGCCGTTAAATGAGTAAATACACGACATGTACTAGCAGGAATCTTGTAGAAACTTGTTATGCATCCTCAGCCCTATTGATCCGGCCCAGAAACTCACCACGGCGGCCTTGACATCCTGCATACCGTGGAGAAGATTCTTCAGAGCCTCCTGGTCCAACTCAAGAGCCCTGATCTTCTCCAGAGCTTTAATATACAGCTCTTTGTACATCACCACCTGGCCGCACAGTGCACAGCAGTCAGTGCTAATCAATAAATGACTAAGTAGGCAATTAAATGATTAAACCAAAACTCAGTACACCCTAAATCCGGAGAGGACTTGCATCCCTCCTACCTGGTTCAGCTCAGTATGGTCCGTCTGGATGAACTTCTCCCGGAGTTCAGAGGGTCCCGGTCCACGAGACTGGTTCTGAGCTCTGATACAGGACAGCTGCTGAGATAGAGCCTCCACCATTATGAGCGTGGAGGTCAGCCGCTGCTCCAGCTCCTGCCTGGAGGCTGAGGCCAGGCTTCCAGGGGAAAGGCTGACGACGAGCAATACAGGCCAACCAGTCAAACAAACGATAAATGACCGAAAGTAGCATAACCGCTAATAAAAAAAATAATCTAAAAGCTCCCAACCCTTATGGATTCATCAAAAGTAATTCAGCTGAACCAAATTAAGTGCTTAGAGCAACATGACTTTTCTCAAAACAAAAGCAAACTCACTTCCACAGCAAGGAGTCTGTGCTGGTACTGGCTTCAGCCACAGAGAACTCCCTCTTCCGCTCGAAGATGCCAGAGGTGTTGACGCTCTGCTCGATCAGCCGGACCGGGCTGGTCCAGGTGCCGACGCTGTGGCACTCTGCAGGGGCCGCACCCACACAGAGGTTCCCCGACGTGCGGATGAGCAAATCCGCCATCTGCAGGAGCTGCTGCTGCAGGGGCACGGTCCTGCCGGGAAAGGGGTCTGCAGGGACCCCCACAGCGGCCTCCTGGACGGCGGGCTGAGACAGCTCCAAGTTCAGTGCGGTGGAGTTCAGCCGAGGTGGTGGCATGGGACTCTCCAGGTTCTCAGTCCACAGGCAGCTCATTCGACCACCCAGGAGGCTATTGTGCTTCTCAAGAGCAGCTGGGGTACATTCTTCATGCTGTCCTGGAAGGGCGATACCACCTGCCGGCACACGGCCCAAAAACTCATCCTGAGGCTGGGCGGGATTCTGCGTCTGCTCCCTCAAGCAAGCGCTCCGTGAGAGAGCAGAGTGAAGGATCTTTGGGGAGGAGTGTGTGAAAGGGTCCTCAGAGCCTTCCTGGGAGTGCAGAATAGAGAGGCCACTGTCGCTGGATGTCCCAGCGCCGGCTTGGGCTGCTCCATCCTCCTGCAGGTCCCTTGGAAACATGGGACCTCCATCCACCTGGAGTTTCTTACCCACAAATGGCGTAGAACTCCCCGCAGTTAAACCAACTGCATCGTCCTCCACACTTTGCCAAAGAGAAGAATTTAATACCGGACTGGCCACCAGCGTCAAAATGACGTGTGGCAGGGACTGGTCAGTGATTCTAGAAAGTTCAGGCTGCTGATGCTCATCTCGCACCGTCAGATCGGATTCCCCAGAAACTTCCTGATCAACTGGAGCACAAGAGTGTTCATCTGCATCAGTGTCCTTTAAACTCTCATAGAAGAGCTCTGGAATATTCTGACAACCAACTTGGACCATGTTCTCAGCATTTGTGTCTGACCCCATCGAAATACAAGATGTTTCAGAACCAGGTAGCTCATTTCCCAAAATGCTACTTTCCTTCTCCAAACAGTAAGCATGGTCTTTATGCCTACAGCTGGACTGTGGGACCGAGCCTTCCAAATCCTCAACAGCATTGCTCTCATTTCCACAGAACACAAAACTTCGGCCAACTTGATCTTCAGGCAAAGGCAAAACAGTCTCCTCTGAAAGTCTGGAGGCATTTGTGATCTCAATGTCAGCTCCAGTGCACACGAAGGATTTCAGTGTGATGTGACCCACTCCATCGCCACACTGCTGGCCAACAGCATCTTCATCAGCGATTGGAACTGCGTCACTACTCACATGGTCAAATCGTTCGTCCAGAGAAGCTCCGGTCTTCTTTCTCTCACCATCCGGTTGTTTCTCATTTTCTTTTTTCACGATCTCCATACTGCACAAAACACCTGAACTACACTCGGCCATTTCTAAATCCGCTACATTCTCCTTCATGTGCTCCATGTCATCTGGCAGAATTACAGCGGCAGGTGAACGGCGAGCGCAGACAGGACGCGGCTCCGACTTACATCTTGTCATTTCACCCTTTATGGAGGAACAAATCAGTGCAACAGTTTATAAACTACTTACTCACCCCTTAAGTAGAAATTAGATTAAATAAGCAAACTCGTGTACCCTGACTGCAATTCGAGCCCAACGTTGGTTCCCGTGGGAGTGTTGCAGCCCCAAAAGCTCATTCTGCAGGCTTCTCAGCGGCGACCTGTTAGCAGACTGCATTCTGTGCAAACACGTCAGTGCAATGGGGTCATCAGCTTAAATCGCCCTAACACAGTCTGCTTCCAAAGGATGCTTATTTACAGTTACACGGCGCATTCATCAAGGCACGGAAGTCGCACACTTACAGCGCTATGTTTTAGTTAGTCCTCTTCTGGATGATATCCTGCTGTCGTACGTGTGTAGATACGGAGCAAATTCCTAAATGATGAAAATGTGATTCTCTCTGACTGCTTTCCATTAAGCGAGCTACTGGCAATGAAAATGATTTCTTTATTAGTCTGACGGGAGCAGCTTAGGGGACAGTACGGACTACAGGGACCCGCTCATTGCTGTCAACAGCAAGGCGGGACAAATGCAGCTCCTAGACAGGGACATTTCTAAACAACCGCGCTCAGCTATACACAAGACACAAAGGTTACACTCAAAGAGTGATGGTAGTTTTACTATACGATGTAAAACGGCAGTTTTAGCAATAGTAAACTCATTTTACTCACCAAACTTTAACCGCCTGCTCCTAATTCAAACCCAAGATGCTCTTCTCTCATTGGATAGTACAAGTAATCGTCATGACGTCTTGCGTCATTGCGTACGCACGCATGCATGCATGTAGTCAATGCTAGCGCAAGCTCAGTAGTCTGTGTCAGGTGTTGCCGTTCCTTGAGCTTTTTATCCGCTGTGTAAATGTTCTTCTTAAGTATTCTTCAAAGCGTCGAGAGCATATGGCAGAAACTCATAAATTCCCTTTTCCCCCATTTTCACCGGAAATGTAGTTTTATTCTCTTAAAACACTGCGATTTTTTCAGACTGATTGGAAGACTTACTTCCCATTCGCACGTAGTCAGTTTTGTCGTTTTTGTGTTTATCAAATGTATAAATATCTGATAAGTAGCTTAGATAAGTGGATTTATGTCGGTTTATTCTTATAATTTTATGCATCGTAAGAGCAATTTAAAATATCAAGTTGACTAAATTTATTGCCTTCAGTTCCACTGTGTGACGTGCGGCTAGCAGGCAGCATAAGGACAAAACAATTTACAGCATATTGAGAGTGCAATACCGTAAACATGTACGATTGGAGGTCAGACAGATTATTCATGTTAAGACTAAATGTGGTTTTATGTCATAGACTTCAAATGCTAGATCTCAATATTCTGAAAGAAGAAACTGCTGATTAACCATTTTCACACACATTTTGTGTGCACAATGTCAGAAACTGGTATTTCCTTTTCATAATAATCATTAATGTTAGCTTTTCCACATCAGTATCAGAAAATACGGATTTAAAAAGGAATGATTGTAGGATCACTGCTCTACTTTTGTGCCTTCTATAGTCAGTTGGCTGAGCTGGGGGGCTTCCACGTGCCTCTGCTTTCCGCCTGTCTCTGCAGGCCTGCCGTGCTGCGTTGGCGGTTGAGGCAGCTCAGGGGGATGGCAGCCACGCTGCTGCGGCGGTGTGTCACTCTCTCCTGCAGCCTCTTCTGTGTTAAGGCCTCACAGGCACCATCCAAGGACAGCTTCCTACCCTTCAGCACCTGCTCTGGTGGAGGGGGTGTCTGACACAGGTGCTGCGACCCAGGGAGCGCTCGGGCCTCTGGCCTGTAGGAAGGGCTTAGCTGTACCTGTAGCGCCTCCCGCAGGCTAACCATGTCTACCCTCCAGCCCACGGCAGCAGATCTGGTGTTGATTCGGTCTGGTTTTGCGATCCTCGTCTTCCTTTTCTCAGTGAGCTCAGGCAACCCCTTGGATGGTAGCTGGTAAAAAGCTTGCCTTTTTTCCCAGAGATCGGCAGGGATGGTCTTATATGGCAGATCTTTCCAGAATATTTGGCTTTTCTTCTCGAGTGAGCGCCCACTGATGTTTCTGCTATGAGTCATCCTGTCTGAGGGTTTCTGCTTGTGTCTTCCACTGCGGGGGTCAGAAAGGAACACGTTCGCAACAGACGTGTCCCTGGTGAAGCCGTACTTCTTCGTAGCGTCCAGGAGCAGGCCATAGATCGTGATGTTGCCCCCATCGGCAGCGTGGCGCAGCGCCGTCCGGCCCTCAAGGTCAACGTGATTCAGGTCTGAGTCGAGAGCCTGGATGAGCAGCGTGGCAAGTGGCAGTCTCCCGTACAGGGCGGCGTACATGAGCGCGGAGCGGCCCCGTTGGTCACAGAGCCCCGCCCTTGCCCCATGAATGAGCAGCATCCTGGCCACGCCCACAGCCCGCAGCTCCCCGTCGTGCAAAGCGCAAAGCATGAGGGGGGTTCTCCCAGCAGTGTCCCTCGCATCGACGTCTATCCCTGACTCGACCAGCCTCCTAGCCAAGCGAAAGTCCGCTTTCAGGATTGCGTCATGGATATGCATTTCGCTTGTGCTCTCTGCCCGAACTCTTCTGTGATTTTCAGATCTGGTTAAAAATTGCCAGGATCCTTCACCAACACCCCCCAGCCAGAAAGATTCTCTGTGTCTTGGGTAGCAAAGCCTGTTAACGAGTTTTCCCGTATCGCCTCGGAAGACTTTGTTCCAAAGGAACCCAGTACTTCCTTATAAACTAAGCTTTGCACCATTCACACATGCACACATTGCTGAAACCCAATCCGCAGTTGCTATTGGAAAGGGGCGTGGCCAGGGCTGTAAATCTTGCTTTGAAAACCCATAACACTTAACGATGCAAAACAAAACAGGCCATTATCCTTCGTAAAAGGTGATGTAAGCGGTTTCACCCCTTCCTGAAAATGACCAGATTGCCGCTTTTGTGTCGAGTGTATCAGTATGCTGAAGACTATCAGTGGCAGAGAAGGAAAATTCCAGAAAAGGTGTCAAGGACGACTGACTGAAGGACCACACAAGTTTAAACACCATGACCTTTAATAACAGCATTCAGGAAGCTAAACATGGGAGCATGCCGAGACGGATCTTATTTTGTTATTTAAAACCAGGCATCAACAGGCACTCCAACAGAGCAACCACAAATGTTCAAATATTTAATGGGGGGTTAAATTGAAACCTCAGAGCCCCCCCCCCCCAATATCTGGATGAAATAAGCACATACAAATGGGACTTTATTTGTTGCGATAATATATAATTTATCTTCTTTCATGTTTTAGCGTTTTTAAACATAATTTTTTCTATAGTATTTCAACCACAAGTAAAAACTGTCATATACCTAAGTCAGTTTTAGCAATGCAAATCAGGATTAGACAATTTGTCACAACGTCTTATTTACCACAATTTGTATATTTGGGAAGATATTTATTTTAAATAATAAACTTACAAAAGCCTCTATGCTTAAATTAAGTACATGCAGCCCAGAGCCGTATCAGGGTTCTAAGCTGGTTCTGTTGGCTGGACCCTGAGCACCTCAGCGAAATCCGGGCCGAACCAGCAGGTGATGTGGGCCGTGTCCAGGGAAAAGTAGAAGAGCTTGTCCTGGCAGCAGGTACGACGGTACACGGAGCGCGGGTCGGCAGAGAGCACCCCCCGGATAGCGGCCATCGCCTCCTCCGGACCCGAAAGGAACCGGAAACTGGGTTTCCCACAAACTAGACAATAAAAAGCAAGAGTCCATGAGTGACTGTAAATGCAGACACTAGATTTCAATGAACTCAGCCATGTGTCACATTTCAGTCACTTGGGCAAACAATTCGACTTAAAAGCTTTATTATTTAAAGCACAATAAGACCCTGAATTGAATCAACATCAGTCTTAAGTCATTTTCTGTAAAATGCTGCCCTCTGCTGGACAAATCTAAAAATAATACCAACTGGCAGATATCCTTACTAAAGACAGATTTTATTGTGACTAATTCCGCAGTATGATTGGACTGCACAACTTCATTGGGAGTGTAAGTGTACCTGATTGGCCGGGGGGTTGAAATGCCCGCAGGTCTGCCTCAGCATACGGTGTAAAGCGAACCACCAGACTGTTCACTGGGGGTTCCCTGATCCAGGAAGCTATGGTGCTATAGGAGTCCTTGCTGAAACACACCTTGGCACTGTACTTCTCATCCTCACAAGGCTCGACTTTTGAGCAGCCTGGCACCAGGTCGCCGTCTTCCACAGAATCCTGGATGGAGTCTTTCTGACTGACATAGCTCTTAACCACCTGCAGCATCGAAGTCAGGTCCCCCCCCTCTACAAAGCAACCATCAGCAGATGCTCTCTGGACATTTTGATCATCACCTTTCCCAGCCCAGGAATCATCATCTGAAGGGGCTGCGTTTTGATCAGAGTCAATCCGCAGCTCCTGCTCCATATCTCCACAGTTGTCCTTAGCCTGCTTGATGGCCGCGTCTCTCTGTTCATCGGAAGATGGCACAGTCCCTCCTGGCCGGTCATCAGTACCACACTCTCCTGTATGCCAATCTCGTCTGCTCAGTGGACAGTCATAATCTGGGATATAGGGCTTGATATCCAGAACAGGAGTGCCATCAATCATGTCAATCCCAGAAAGATGAAGTGTATCACCTAGAAAAAAAAAAGAATTGAAAGCGAACTGTTTATGAACAGAGCACCATCTAGTGGAGGCAAAAAATACTGCAAATGGTTCATGCAGTGTCATTTTGTCTATCACTGCTAACAGGTCACCCTCAGTCCCCATACTCAGCTTATCCACATCACCTGCGACCTTGTCCAGCTTGGCGAGAGTCAGCCCCAGCGCGTTGGGCCTATGAGGACTGCGAGAGGAGTACAGCCCCACCTTCTGGCCGTCCATCCTGGGGGGCTTCACCTTGCCCTTATGGCTCAGGTGTCCGTTTTTATGGAAAAGGAAGATGATCCTGGAAATTGATGATAAGGAACAAAGAACAAAAAAAAAACTAAATTCACTAATATACATGTATGACTGCTCTCTGAGTATTATAAAGCAGACAATACAAATCAGCCCAGCAGTCATATATTGTTAATGTGTAATTATTCTATGGACCAGCCAAAGTGTGATTCTCACTTAATCTCAATTAAGGTCCAAATAAACAGGCACCTCCCACTGAGATTTCCCCTCCTTGCTGCCATTGGCTTATTTTTCCTACTGTCAACAACCCCTCCACCTATGAACAAACTTATAACTACACTGATTCATCAAGGTCTCCTATACCAACAGGTACAAATGCCACTGAAGTGATTTCAATGTCATAAACAGAAAAAATGCAATTCATCACAATCCCCATTGAATTTAGCTGGAAAGAAAAATTCAATATATATTTACCATGTTTACAGTAAATTATGCAACTGTATATGAAAATACAATTTGACCTGTGTCCTCTTAAAATTGTCATTAATCCTCTCTACTATTTTTGGTGAAGTGGATTCAGCAATCAATATTTAAGTCTATTTAAGAAACAACACAGACTGCATTCTGGTTTTAAATGCTGCCCCTATTGGTCAAGTCAGGTAAAGACTGGAACAAAGGAGCAGGACAGAGAAGACTTGCAATTTAGAGTTAAGGGGAAAATGAACTTCCTTACCACACATGTGAGTATTGCTCCAGGCCGGTCAGTGCATGCTCAGGGTTGCTGAACACAGTCCGCCGTATCTGCAGGGTCGCTCGAGATGGGCCGCACACCGTCGGCTGTCGCGGGGTGCCGTTTTTGGCCAAGAAGCAGGACTGGATGAACGCAATTGGAACAGTCTGGATGTTTCCTGGGGGTCATGTGTTTTTGACACCGACAGATGCATGACGACAAGCACATACAGGACGCATCAGACTTTATGCAAGCAGCTACAGCCACGTTATATACTAAATTTGATTGTAAATTAGAAGCTCATAGTGTATGTACCACCTGTACTCAAAGCTGCACTTAATAAAAGGATAAAAACGCTAAAAATATGGTGACTCATAAATAATCTTTAATTTATACAAAAATAGCAAAATGTAGAAAGGCATAGGGTGGCAACAGACCTTGCTCTAGGGAAAGTCCTTTGACCTCATTCTGCTTCTGCGAGCTTTTCATATTCATTTTCGCCCCCTTCTGGTCGTACGCGGCCAAAGCAGATTGCAGAGTTGTTAAATGTTTCTTGTGAACGAGAATAGCAGTATCCATCTTTTGCCTAAAATACGTGAATTTCAGTAAAGGATAGGTTAATCAGTTTAGTACTACATATACCACAAGTAATCGTCAAATTTTAAGTTTATTTTGCAGCATTATGTCCAACTGGTGTGGGTTAGAATCGTTTCGATGCTGCAGCTATAATAATTTGTTCAAGCGTCAGCTAGTATTCATCAAAAAGTGCGTAGCTTACCTAAGGTCTTATTTTAAGAAATTATTAATCACCTTTAGCTTTTATTGCACCACAGCAAGCAAAACCACTAAGCTGACAAAAACATTAATAGTAGATTATTGTGATTCATGGAGTGACATTAAGTGAAATTGCGTAACATCGAGCGAATGAAGCTAGATTTCATTTCACCACAAAAATGAACAGCAAAACGAGCCAAATGACACTACGGGGATTTCTGATAGTAATACCTCAGGTTTTTTATTTCCTTCCTCATCACCGAGATTTGCTGATTGAGTTTTATCGTACGTTGGTTACAGCTGCACAGACTAGACATTTTGCCTTGAAAACAAAGCTTTTCTGACAATATCAATATTACAAAATTATTTAATTATGCCTTGAACACGTACAATAAACCACAATCTCATATATTCAGCCTTGCCACCGTGCAGAAAACTCACTAAACACGCCGTTGTGCTATTAGAAAGAATATCTGTCGCGGAATTAATACGTGACATCAAACCGCGTGAACTATCTGAGACGCCATTGGCTGTTTGAAACCGTACTTTGAAAACCCGGATGTGCACGTACTACGTGCCCGAACGTATATAAAAGATAGTTTGTTAATTTAATCTGAATTTTTAAATCGCAGATTGAAATGTGCGCACGTAATGCTGTATTCTAGAGCTTTCGGTACATCGATAGTATGTATTTTAGTCGTTGGGTTTTTCTTGTAACGTTCAACATGTGGTACAGATACCTTGCACAACTAGTACTTTGCCCTAATACACCGGAAACGTATAAAAAATTACCCTTTCTTTGCTGAGAATATTTAACGTGTAAAACTACACGCTTTGAATTTTGAGAGACCATTGTAATGATATGTTAATTTAAAAAGTTTGATAACGTTTTTAAATAGCAAATGATAAAATGTCGTAGTATGTTAAATGGACAGTAGAGGGAAGTGGTGAGCAAGTAAAGGATTTTCTGCAGTCTCGGTAATGTTAAAGTCCATTGGATAGTTAGAATTTTTCTTTATTTAATAAACCATTCCTTCTTGTACAAAACTGGCACAATTGGTATTTTTTTAAAATGCGATGAAACACTAATACATGCATTTTGTCTTTTTTTAACTAAAATGATAGCATGTTTTTCATATGTTATGCTTTAAAAACAACTTTACCCAAAAATAAATATAAACTTCACTTTTTAGAATTGTAACATTTATTGTGAAACGAAATTATTAAGATCTTTTTATGATAATCTATATACTCTGAATACAAAGGCTTAACATTACAAAGCTCTCAATCAAATACTCCTTTGGGCACGTTGTTGCTGAGAAGGTCTGACGAGACCTGTGGTTCTTCAGGATACACTGCTTGGGAGGTTCTCCTCCATGGTGGGAAGGATAAACTTCAGTGTGGGAGATGCCTGGTTATTGTCTGCCTTGTTGTCCGACAGGTCTTCATTTGTGCCTGCAAAGACAAATGCGAGTAAGCCGGCCCTGCCCTGGTTTGCAGTGATTAACACTGCTCAAACAGCACCCTCTATTGCACCTACCCAGATCAGGAAGCAGGAGCTCCTTAGGCTGGGGTATGTCCTCCTCTTCATCAGGCCCCAGGTCCTCTATCAGCACCTGCTCCACCAGCTGGCTGGTCTTGGGCTCTGTGTCTTGCTTTTCCACTTCAGAAAGGACAGGAACTATCTCTACCTCAGGGTGAATGAGAACAGGGGCAAACGAAAGGGGCATCAGGGAGAATGTGAGAGGTGGAGGAGGTTCCTGGTAGGTTGGTTCTGGCACACTGGCTGCCTGCGGAGGGGGCAGTTCTTCCACACTCGTGGGCTCTGGGTGAACATCATCCTGGGCTGGCTCATGCTCGGCCTTGGGGTCAGCCTTTCTCGGCCGGCCTATTTTGCCCTGGCCGCTCTTGTCGCGTGCAACTCTCGGCCGCTTGCTTTGCACCCTGCGATCAAAGGTTGAAAAGATATTAATGTGGTAAACATGGCAGCCCGCATTTTGAAAACTGTTCAGGCCACCACTAATATAGTAATCAAAAGACTGGACCGGTGACATAAAAAGTGCTGAGTTTAAATTCCGTCTGGATTGTGCTGTCACAGCTTTCAGCCTTGGGAATTACAGAATCAGAAGAGCTTCCAGAAAAATCCAGCTTTGCAGAATAACCTCTGGGATCACAACATGACACTCACCATCATTACAGCTTCAATAATTAAAATAAATAGCTTTAAAATTTGAGAATGACTTTAAAGTATATCTGCACAGGTTTAACATCTTAATTTTTCAAAAGATCGAACAGATTTACCTTTTATCTTTCCAGCACTATTATATCTAACAATGATCTAGTGTGACAATGGCTCTTCAGCTCCATTTGCTTTGAATAGTGATTCAATAAGTATCACAGTGATTCCAGACTGAGGGGAGCTAAATTTTTTTGTTTTTAAATAACAACCTTTTGTTGTAAACTGTGAACTGTCACAGAAAATCCATGCAACCTCATACCCGTCCCTGCCCCTGTGCATGTGTCACTGATCAAGCAGCTTTAATCTCCATTAATGCCATCTGAATGTTAACTTCAGTCCTCAGAAATTATGTACATGTATATCCACTAAGGCACTAGGGTAAACCACAGCAACTCTCAGAAAAAAGGGTAAAAATTTGTACCTTTGCTTGTCACTGGGCCTGTAACCTCAAGGGACTGCCAATTGTACCCTTGGCTGTAAGTAATTGTACCTTTTAAGGTACAGAAATGGACTCTGAGGAACATTTTTGTACCATTGATGGTACATTAATGCTGTTTGTATCTTTGGGATGTTCCTCGGAGTTCATTTCTGTACCTTAAAGGGTACAATTACAAAGGTACAGTCTCAGTGACTAGCAAAGGTACAAACACAGGATAGCAAACTCAGAACTGTAGGAAATTGTTAGGGCAGTGTGCCGTACAGCCCGACTTACACGCCTGAGGCTATCCAGTGTCACTGCATGTAAAGCAGGAGTTAGTGTTTACAGGGCATACAAAGACCACAAGTTTCCCTGTGCAAACGGGCAGTTTGGACACAGGATGTACCACATATCTCACAACAGGGGGAAATCACTGCCCACATTCCGTTTAATTACTGTTTAAGGATGAAAAGAAACAAGATAGTCACTCTCTTGTTAGACAACCTGAAAATGAAAATATATTTTTAAGTTATTTTCTGGAGTGCCCCAGTACTGTCCAGCTCGAAACAGGAGCCATATTGTACCAAGAACCTGGATTTGATTCCTTCTATGATGCATTGAAATTGGGAGAAACTTATTTTAAAATCCTATTTATAAATTATGTGCTTCACATTTTAGGTTTTCTTGGATAAATGCATAATCCTAATAGTAATGCAATATATTAAGTCTTGAGACAATGTAGTAATTTTACTGTAGTATTGTTGTGAAGGATGTACGATGTTGAAAGTGCCGCTTGTAAAATGGCCCGCTTTACCTAATTTACCCGAAGCTGAGAGCAGGGTTTCTGGGACAGCACTTTCTGTTAGATACGTCCGCAAAAGTTTGTTTATCAGTCATAATTTAGATACTTGGGCCAGTTATTTCAGAACCAAAGAGGCTCTTCCGGAGGTTTAATTCGACGTGGCACCGAGTAACGATGTAGACCGCGGCAGTCAGCTTCCACCCGCCAAGGAGGATGTGAGTTCTGCTGCCTGCAGAGCACTGACTCAGCTTTGCCAGCAGGACAGAAGATCGGCTGTCTGTAATGTCATTTACTGTGTTTCATTATGTCACCATCCCGACCCCGCCTTATGACCTAAATTTACACTGCCATTTGGCAGTTAACACCGACTAACTATTGTCGTCTGGTACAGATCCGATAGAATAATGAGCAACGTATTTTACAGCACGTACCGAGTCATGTCCTCAATTAAAGTTTGTCTTGACTCTTGCCAGATTTATTTTTCACACGCTATATTTGAACTATCTGTCTTTAGATGGCTCAGAGACGTTGACAGTAGCAGCCCGCGAATCAGAATTGCGTTAGATCGAATGACTTTACCCATGAACCCACTGGTAAGTTGCTTTTTCTTCAGCCTCTGCCTTCCTTTTTCTCAGCAGGTCTCTGTCCCTCAGTCTGTGTCTTATATTACCTGCAATCCAAGACACACCATGCGTCATTATTATTATGGATAAATTAATGCTAATCAATCGTCGGGAATGAGAAATAAATCAAAAAGACAATAACATGCCAAAATGAAATGTAAGAAGGACAATAGTAGATCACATAAAATACGATCAATATTTGATATTGTAGTTTAAAATTACCCAAGCCATTATTACCGTTACTTCATTTTTTTCATTTTTATGTGGATCACTTGTTTAATACTGAAACAAAATTATGTAAGTCCATGTATCAGTTCATAGCCAAACACAGTTCATTAAAACAAAAATGCACGAACTCAATTTGCGGTCCAGTGTTGCATAATTTTGATATGTGGTGACTGTAGTACTCTACGTTACACACTAGTGCAATAATAATGCATGCAATATATGAGTCTTATGTTTATACAGCTGCCTACTATAGACAAAAACGATATCCCACATTAATAAACCAAAGACTGATCATCTGCATTAGTGACCAATATTGTGGAAATATTTAGAGATTGCAGAACTTCATTCAGCTGTTGCTCCATGCAGTTACGTATTTAATCGTCCAATGTATGATATTTGTAACATTTTTGATTGTTTGTAAACATTACCGCCAATATCGTGCAGTAATTTTGAAAGCGTAATGCCAGAAATGCAGGTGTTTCCACAGTTTTGGCCACTAGTGTACATCTGATGTTGATTTTCAGTGCAGGACGATACTTGACAGCTAGCAATGCTTAGAACCAAGTGAAGCGTACAGCCATGTTTCAATGGCGGGAAGTAACAAAGCCATACAACAAAATATTATCAAAGACCATTTTTAGGGTTTTTAGCTATTTGCTGCAGACGTTATACGTATACATATTATATACTACAAAGCTGTCACGGTACGCGTATTTATTTGCCCCAGGCTTCATGTAAACTACAGACTACAGAATGTAAAAAGTTGATGAAGATAATGTATAGTTAAAACACTTGCATAGCGACACGAAAGCACATTCTTTGAATCGTACAATCATGTATATGAAAAACTGCGGCAGAGATCGATTTACTCAGGTAAATGCTTTCTGCTGCTTTAATTACGCCCAGTATCCTGTGACAGTGTGTGCTGCTGTATTTGCAAACCCAGAGTTCACACTCATACCTTGCTTGTCACCTGCTTCGTTAGATTCCATTTGCGTGCCACCTTTTTCCAGAGTCTCCATATTGTAAATATAAAACAAAATTGATGTTAAGGAGAGAAAAAAATCCGAAATAAAAAAAAAACGTCCGGGAAGTTTTAACGCCAATTCTGCCTATTCGCAACTCCCGCCCCTTGAAATAATTATCTAGTTAACTATTAACATAGTGCTTTAAGAGTTCAGCGGCTTTGCCTTATCGTATTTGTGAAGGTGGGGAACTTGGCACATGGCAAGGAAAAGCAGGGCATGCTTTAAGCGCAGATAGGGGGTCCTCCTCTCAATGAAAGTTTTTTTTAAGCAATATTACACGCCCACCCAGAGCAGCTCACAAAGCATGGTCTTGGTAAGTCTCCGGGGGTGGTATTCAAAATGTAATGGCTGTTTGCAGTGGCATGATATGAAATAACCGTGCTGCATATGGTGGCTTTGCTCGACATTTAGTGACGCTTTTTCTATGCGTGTGGACAGAACATACATAAGAAAGTGACTCGGTCAGGGAGAAGGGATGGTCCCCTCTTCGTGTTCTTTTTGCTGTTCTCCCAGCGACACATCTTTTACCTGCATAAAATTATTACATTTCTGACTCTTATTACACATTAAAGTAGATTATAACTTATTTATAACTTGATAGATTCTCTCTTTTGCTGCGGTACTAGCTTGACTGTATTGAGTAGATATGAAATATTTAACTGGATGAACATTCATTTGCACTTGAAATTCTTAAATCCGGGTATACTTTTAATTAATTAATTAATTAATATTCTCTCCCTGTTATTTCACCATGTTATAAACTATTAACGAAATACGTGGTAGCTATAAACGTCTTTCAGAATACATCATAAAATTTCTAAAATACTAAAATAATCTGTTGACTTTTTAAAGAATGACAGATAAGAAATATAACGTTCATTTTGAATATGGCGCCAGTGAGAATATTTTGGGCTTGCCCCCCCCCCCCCCCCTTCCCATCATGAATTGTAGTTATCTTATCTCTTACGGAGGGCGCTCTTCGTTTTCAGGGTGTGCTCTCAATCTCCACTTCACACATTGTAAGCAAAAAAAGAAAAAAATATATATAATGATGATGCTGTCTCTATTTCTGCCTGTGTCGCGGCTGTGAAGGGACCGCGTTCTGCCAGGATGAGCCACTGAGAGACGGCGTTGTATTTCCATTATCTGGAATTATTTGATGATGAAAGCACATCTCTTTGTACATAGGGCAAAAAAATGTCTTCGTTCCTTGAATTCCTAAACAGCAGACGGCAGTGAGATTACAGTATATGGACTAAATCCGCCCCACTACCCTATTTCCAGGTCCCGTGGGGTGACACTTAAACACTTCATAAAGTAAACTCTTTATTAAGGGGCACTAGTGCATTTTTATCCAATTATAAAAGCAGGAAACCAGCCAGCCAGCTTAAACATTAAGGTCGCATTTTTGTCTGAGCTGTTTTACTAAACAAATGGCCTCCATGCCTTCTGCTTTGTGTGTGTGTCTGCATACTTTTTCCATCCTTCTATACTTTAATTATTCTAATGTTTTCATTGTATGATTACATGTCCCAAGGCTATATTTGCTAGAAATATTGATATTATGCACTCAACACTCTGGTCTAATGAAGCCTTAAAAACTAAAATGGAAATAAACTTCTTGCTTTATTTCCAACAGGATAAGAAGTGAAAAAAAATGGAAAATGGAGACACCATATAATAAATCTTCCCACTTATCCTGGGTCTGGACCCTCTCAGGCATGACAGGGTACAAGGCTGGGGGCCACTCTGATAGGATCCCAGCCCATTGCAGGGCACATATACAGTCACATTCTCACACACAGTCATATGCTGCGGGCGATTCAGACACACCGATTAGCCTCACTGCATGTACTTGGACTGCAGGAGGAACCTGGAGCACCCAGTGGGAAGCCATGTGACACAGAAAAAACGTGCAAGCTCCGCACACACAAAAAAGCAGGATTCAACCCCCCCAGCCCTGGAAGTGTGAGGCCCAGTGTTGTCCACTGAGGCACCAGCCACGTCCCATTGAAATGACATCACCATCCACGCCATGCATTTCGGAAGTACACTTCATTGACATACATGATATGGTAGACACACAGTTGCTTGCACTATTGAATATTATCGTTGATTACTTTGTCTTCCCCCTCTGGCATGCTTAGTTACAGTCTAAAACCTGCAGAACATGAAACGTATGTGGGACATGCAAGCTTTGAATTGAGATGAACAAACAAATGTAACATAGTATAACATTACATTATGTAACCCATCATCTTTCATACAAATGTATCGAGGCATTGTAATCTTTTACCGACAGAAAGAGACAAGTTGATCTATTGTTTTACATTTAAACACTGAAACATGGCAGTGATTATTTCACGATGAAAACTGCTACTCCAGCACACCATATCTAAGGCGCGACGTCTGAGAACAAAATATAATGACACCCAGTAAAATGTATATTTCCTGGCTTATATTCTTTACCACATTAAAGTATTGTAGAGCCACAATAAATGAATGCTGTGATTTCTGCTTTTGGTGCTTCTGATATGTCCAACACAAATATGTAGCACAGAAAAGACATTTGCAATGTCTGGAATGCATGGCCTACTTTTGTTTTTATTGAAAAAAAAACATGAAGGATGAAAGTGTGTCGATGGCAGTAAAAACTGCCACAGCAAAGCTGTCCATTGTAAGCCCATACTCCCTATGACATCTGTGTCTGGACGTGTCTGCAACGGAGACATCACATTTCCTGACAAAAAAAAAAACCATGACAGTAGTTGTACTGTACTTTGTAAATAGTGTAAAACAAAAAATCATAGTGCCCTCTAGTGGTTACAGCCCCACACTGGCTGAACTATTTAAGTACAGTAAGGTCAATTTACAAACTAAAAAGATTATCTTATTTCCCGCAGGGTTAATGTATTAGTAATGAATTACAGTCTTAGGTCTGGAACTCTGTTTTAATTATATGTATTAGTTTTATACAAATTCTTAATTCATTCACACGATGCATTTCATTGTAACAAAAAAGTCAATACTTACAAATGGTTTGAAAATCAAATGGCTTACATTTAAGTAATATCTGTATGTTAAACTCCTGACAATAACAAAATGTATAGCAAGTTTAATGGCAATTATATGTAGATATGATTTAATTGTTATATAACATTAATATTGCAAGTTACAATACACTCACAAATCCAACAATAAAATATATTCAGAAATATGACTTGTACACTTAACCTGGAACATAAAAATAATAATTAGTCTTTCCAGTTAACTTGTAATAATCATTGAAGTACAATTAATGGCTTATCCAAAACTACAAACAAGCCCTAAGGAAAAATAATTAAAGGATAGATTTATGCATCGTTATATTTTGAACAAAATGAATGCAGCATTTTTGTGCCAGTTTCAATGTCAGAGTCTAATTATGCAATAGACACATAGAAGCATTAAAACTGTTTTAAGGACAAAACTCCAGAAGAAGAAATGAAAGAACCTAAAGGTAAAGCGTGACAAGGCAAACACTAAAAACGTCACCAGAATTCGTCTGGCATGCAGCATGATAGCCAGCAACTCACACTCATCTCAATCTGAACAGTGACACCTCCAAGTTACCCGACAAAGACTTAACTGCCCTCCATCAGCACTGGGGTATCAGTCAATTGTTCTGGCACGCTGCCCACTGGTGTTACTTGATGTCACAAAGACCAAGACTTTCCCACAGGATCCATAGCACAGAGAATGTTAAAGATTCACATATCCCTGGTTTAAAGTCTCTTGCATGATTAACGTTGAAAAAGGTAACCTATCAAATCATATTTTGAGAAAATCCCCACTGATAAAACTCTTTTAGACAAACTTGCATTTTATTTAAAGTGGTATTTTAAGCTATTTGTAAATACTTATTAGTTAACAGAGGCATATGTATTAATAACCCATGGGCTTCTGGCATTACTAACTGATGTAAAAATAAAGCATATTTTGTTAATGTAAAGGATAGCCTGAAATATACAGAGTTTTATATCGTGAGACAAGGTACAACGTGATAAAAAACTATCCTACTATTTCTGGCTTTGAGGGTGACACACCTTTGCTTACTGAATATTTTTTAAGCAGGGACAGATTTGACTCACTATGCGGCCATACACTGTATAACACGGGATTCATTTCCAAAGTTTAGTTAGGAATGCCACATACAAAAAATATTTTCCATTTATAAATAAAAATACATTACTAAATAAATCAATTAGCGTTTATTTATGCACAATTCTGAATGATCAATGCTTTTATGTAAGACACATGACGCCGTTCCTTAACACCTTCTCAAGAAATTCCATTGTTAATGTAATAAGAAGTATTTATGCGAATGCACCTTAAAACAATTACTTAAGGTGAATATATAGAATAAATCTGCATGAAAACATCTGCGTTTTCATGTGGAATATACGAAGGCTTCTTATTTTATTTTCATTTTGCCTCCTACCACAATAAACTTCAAACGCAAAACAATCATCACTATACCACCGCGACCTCTATATGAAAACGTACGTGGAAACTTTTCAATTTACATAATACATGACTTCCTTCAGTAAATTACATGAATGGATGGCCTCATGAGAGCGTCGTGCTCAGTGACTGCATTGCCTGTTTAACTGCAGTGGGCGTTTCTGAACGCAGATGGCGGTATTGAGTATATATTTGTTTCAGTCCCGTTTCCCTCCATGGTCTCTCCTCTCCCTGAGTAACTTGGCGTTTGGTTCAGTTCATTATACAGTCCCATTTTCTCCCTCCATTAGGGGCATCTCTCTGCCTTTTGGACTGAGTGAAAATTCCACCAAGAAGCAAGAAGAGGAAAAAACACCTTTAAAGGGGAAAATGGACATGAAAAAGAGGATTCACTTGGAGCTTAGAAACAGGACACCATCTGATGTAAGTGCTTTTTTTGCTTGAAGAACCTCAAACCTTAGTTACTTAGCTTAGCTAGCTACTTTTTTGCTTTCCTAGTGACCTGTGCAGCTAGCAGGCTAGCTAACAGGCTAATGGTGACCACATGGGTTTAATGTTTTTCCAAATGTTACAAAGGCGGAAAAATGCGAGCCATCCGCGCGTCCAGCCTCATGTTTCCGAGCTCGGGGCTGACGATCAAGTATTGAAAACAAACATCCTATGTGGCCAAGTACTTTCGAAAGGCTTATTCTTTATCTACCATGCATTTATTATAGCCCCTTAACCGCTCCGCAGTTGCTCGCTTCGTCGTTGTGTGCACCGGCCAGGTCGTCTTAATAAAAATATATAAATCCAACTTCTGCATGGAGGAATCGGAGGACGATTTTACCACGATGCGTGGGACACGGGAAGGTTTATTTTATTTTGAGACCTTGGTAGCCATGTTTATACTCGCGAATGTGGGGCGCCTTTATTACAAAGCACTTTTCTTTTAATAAATGAAACCCCGCAAGGTAGCGAATCTGGAGTGCTGGTCACACCAACTATTACTTTAAATTTCGATAAGTAATGGTTAACTATCCTGCGTTACTAGTTCGGACTGGCCACAAAAATCACCGAGACGGGCGGAGTCGTCAAAGTGCTTTTGCCTTTTTTGTTGTGAGCCTCCATGTAGATATAAAAACTACCTACGATAATATTTCGGCGGACTAGTAACTCACGTTAATTCGCCCCTTCTTTTAACCCCCCGAAGCCGCCTAGTCTGCCTTTAGCAGTTAGTTGGGTTAACTTTACATGCAGAGTGGCGGATGAGGCTGCTTCTCCATTTAATCCGTGTTTACATGTCGCACCGATCGTATTAAAAAACTAATGTGCACGTTGGCGATCCGGCTCGGCCACCCCCCTCCGTGTTTTATTTTTTTAAAGCGCCACGCCGTGTTGCCGGCGTCTTCGGCGTTTGCCGCCGGCCGCAGCAGCCTCGTCCCACCGGCTGAGGTAGCCACTTTTTCGGCTTCCCGCCATATTCGGCGAAGAGCCCCCTTCAGCTGCGTATCTGCTACGACGTACGGAAAATGTCGTGTTTATCGCCCCACAACTCCATCTGAAACACTGAGTATGTCCAACAACATTTAGATGCTTTTATTTGATTATTTTTCCCCACTAGCTCGCGGGCGAGCCCGGTCGGCTGTGTGGACCGACTGTATCCAGTCACCTTCTATAGCCCTCGGACATGCAATAAAATACCGGCATGCGCGTCAAAATGTAAACTTTTCTCAACGTTCGGGACATTTTAAGCTTGATTTTTAAAAAAATTCCGGAGCAGAATAAGCGGTTCTCGTGGCCGCGCGCGGAGGGCTCGCGCGCCGTGCCTTGCTCGGCGCCATGTTGTCCCCCCCGCCGTCTTTGAAGCGCTGGAGAAAGGAAACTCTCCATCTTTGTCTCACTGATTTCCGCTCCGAGCGTTTCCTCCGCCGCTCGGCCACAAGAACCGCCGACGGTTCGCTCTACCGCGTCTATCGACGGGCGATGGCTCTTCATCTTTCCCCCGTAGTAAAAAGAAAAGCGTCGTTTGCTAAGAAAAATAATGTATATTAAAGTCGGTTTTTATGACGACGCGCCGCCGCGTCACCCCTCTCTGCTGCCGGTGCTTAATGGCGGGCTGACTCGTGCTCTGCAGCGCCTTAGCCGCGCGGCGCCCCTTAAAAGGGCAATGGCTATGCTAGGCTAGGCTATGCTAACTGTCCGCGAGCGAAAATCGCAGCGTTTGTCAGTCACCCCCGGCGGCGTCTAATATTAAAGGCGCCTTTTTGCTGCATTTCCCTGTGACTCTTCCTCTGAAATACATGCGTAGCCCGTAATCACAAGGCACAATTCCCCCTCCATTTTGGTTCTGTAAATTAAAAAAAAAAAAAAAAAACCTAAGTGATTGTGGTAAAGCTGGGTGGCCAGATACTTAGTAATCTTTATAACTTAAAACGGGTTATTCTCGGGTGTTTTTAAAATAAAATTTGGCCGCACTTTTTAGCGCGAAGCCGGTACTCAAAAACATACCCTAGGCCTAAAAATGTGGATAACTGGCTGAATTAAAGTCGAGTTACAACCTGAATGGGGATGATTATTAAACTGCAGGTGTGCTACTCGCAAGGGGTGCAAAAAAAAGTAAGGGCTGTATTCGCATGGCGGAACGACGCGCATCCCGCTCCTTCGGCTCATTGTCCTTGATTTTTTTTTTTAAAGCGCACCCCGTCACTATCTCATTCTTCACGACCTTTGGAGGATGCAGAAATAGAAATAGTGCTGTCAGAAAATGCATATCCCTGTAGATACTGGAATGACTGGGAGAAGTTTCGGTGGAGTTTTGCGGCTCTGTGCGTCCACGTCATCGGGCTCCCATTGACCACAGGCTGTTTCTCAGAACAGGGCTCATTCCATAAGAAATGTGAGCTGTGGGTCTGCAAGTAAAGCAAACAAGGCTACTTTTGTGTAGACATTTTGTTTTAATCGTATGCCACTTGATTTTGCGTAGATTCCCCCCAATGTGTCTATTAAAATATTTTTGTCTGAAGTATTTTGTGATTTATGTATGTTGCATGTATTAGGGTGAGTACTGTTAAAATGGGACACCTGGTGAAATGGAACAGTTAAACTTTGTGGTTATGTGTGAAACTTTTTCTATTCTATATAGTGTTCAAGGAGCATTAATCCATTTAGAATAGTATTGAGTTGGGGTTTAAGATATTGAAGATTGTGTAATTTTTTCCAGAAAGCAAATTTTCAGAAATTGTCGCATTTTAACAATACTCTCACCTTATCTGTACCATATACTTTCCGACATGGGAAGTTGAATGAATTTATATGTGTTTTATAGGTACGAGAACTTGTCCTCGACAACTGCAGGTCCAATGAAGGGAAAATCGAAGGCCTCACTTCAGAATTCGTCAATCTTGAATTTCTTAGCTTGATCAACGTGGGCTTAATCTCAGTCTCCAACCTTCCCAAGCTTGGCAAGCTAAAAAAAGTAAGCATGGCTTTTTTTTTTTCCCCTCAGCATGTTGATATAACCTAGAATACTGATGGAACATATACATTTTTATAAACGAGGAGGACAGTGAGGTGGTGCAGCGGTTAGCACTGTTGCCTCACACCTCTGGGACCAGGGTTCGAGTCTCTGCCAGTCCACCCTGTGTGGACTTTGCATGCTCTACCCGTGGGTTTTCTCCAGGTACTCTGGTCCCCCCCCCCCCCATAGTCCAAAAAGATGCTATTTTGAATCTGAGTTACCAAATTGTCCTTTGGTGAGCATGGTGTATGCACCATGTGATGGGTTGGTACCCTATCCTGGGTGGTTCCCGGCCTTGAGCTCATAGCTTCTGGGATAGGCTCCGCCCCCCACGACCCTGAATAGAAGCGTGTACAGAAAATGGATGGATGGATGGAGAGGACAGTCATTCTGCCTTAGTTTTATTGTGTGTATGCAGGAGGCATTACCCATTTTTTATGGATATTATGTATAACAGCATGAATTGGCTAATTTTTCCTCCCTTTAAAAGTCTTGTGCTTTAACACATTTTGTTTTCAATGTGCACATATTGAATATTTAAATCTGCTTAACCAAAGTCTCTTTATGAATTTCTGATATACTTGTGTACCATCCTTTCATTAATTATCGATAAAATCTTCCATAACAATGGTAATGTATTCGCAGTGTTTTTTGATATGTTTTATAAGTTTAAATTTCCGATTTTCTTTCAGTTGGAGCTCAGTGACAACAGAATTTCTGGCGGCCTTGACGTTTTAGCAGAAAAACTCCCGAACCTCACGCACCTAAACCTAAGTGGAAACAAGCTGAAAGACATCAGCACATTGGAACCACTGGTAAGCCTGTCTTCTCACAGCAAAGGAATTTATCATAATGCCTCTGTTTTGCACTGTACTTGTAAATGATCAGCAATGTAAGACTTTTAAGGGAATAACTCTGTAAAAATGTACTAAGCCATTTTCATATTTGTTTCCTGTAATCCACCCTTGGTGATAACTCATTTATGGTACATGAGATTGTGTTTTTAATCTGTAGCACTACAGTTATGATTCATGGTTTTTTTTCCTGTGTGCAGTCGTAATGGTCGTAATATGAAGTTGAAGATTGTTCTGTGTTCCATACAACTGTCATAGCGATCCTTTATTTCTGCCCTGCATACTTAATTGTTCTGGCGTTTCACTAGAAAAAACTGGACAACCTGAAGAGCCTCGACCTTTTCAACTGTGAAGTGACGAACCTCAATGACTACCGGGAGAGCGTCTTCAAGCTCCTTCCACAGCTCACGTACTTGGATGGATATGACATGGATGACCACGAAGCCTCTGACTCAGATGGAGAGGTGGATGGAGATGGAGTAGATGAAGAAGATGATGATGACGAAGGTGCGAATGGATGTCTTCTGTAAAAATGAAGCCTTTAAAAGCATTTGATCGTGTTCACAGCTAGGGACGGTGCCGGTAACTCTATCCTGATTGCTTTCTTTCATGCTTACAGAAGGAGAGGAGGAAGAAGACGAAGATGGGGAAGATGGTGAAGAGGATTTTGATGAAGAGGATGACGACGACGATGATGACGATGAAGTTGAAGGCGAAGAAGATGAGGAGGATGTAAGTGGAGAAGATGAGGTATGAAGTCCTTCCCTGTTCCTTAAGATGTTGTTGAAGTACAGCTGACTGAATTGCTGTTGAATTGAAAGGATTTTTTATCAAGTTGTACTTGTTTGTCTAGGAGGAAGACTTTGGTCAGGATGGAGAACTTGATGATGAGGATGACGAAGAGGATGATGATGATGAGGGTAGGTCTCAGTTTCCTCTGAAATGTAGTCACTACCCTCCAGTCAAATGGGGGGGGGGGACTCTGTGAACTGACGCTTGTTGTTTTTCCAGAAGAAGAGGAAGGTAGAAAAGGCGAGAAGAGAAAGAGGGAGGCTGAGGACGAAGATGACGACGAGGAAGATGATGATTAAAAGCAAATGGCCTACCAGTTACCAACCCCTTACCCCCCTTCCACCAAGGTTTTTTATTTTTTTGCTCCATTTCCCCCCTCCTCCCCCCACGCCTCCTCCAGAGCTCTGCTCCCGTAAAGGACTGGATTGTGCTGGGTGGACTGGGCCTCAAGAGGTACGCCCAGGGAGTCGCTACCAGAACCACTCTGGTATTATTTCATTCAGCATTCCACTATTTCAGTGTCAACCTATTTTTTTTTGGATTCACTTAAGAACTTCGGGGGCTGGTATCTAGTTTGGGTTTTGCGCTTTTAATATTTTTGTTTGAGTTTTTTTTTTTTTTTTTTCGTTGTTTGTTTTTTATTTTTTTCCCCCCTCCACCCCAGTAAGATTATTGCTATAGCAACAAACGGTGATGGGGGGGCCATAGTTTAAATGGCCCCCTGTTGCTGAAATCATGGTTGTAGCTACATTTTTACTTTCTGTATGTCAGACACAAACTTTGTAAATAAAATCTTAACATTTTGCGCCTTGCCGTCCTGTGCAGTGCTTTTCCCATTATGACGTCGGAGGTGGACTGGGCTTTTCTCCAGTATGGATGTTATTGTATGAAAGTGATGAGCCTGTACTGAGATGGACACTGGCAGCTGTTGTGATAAGGGCACCTCGTGTTCAGGCCATATGCCTGAAGATGCTGTGTTGCAATGAATCCACTTTGCAGTGATGCTCGCTCAGAATACCTTCAGCCACTGTCCTTTATTTTTCCTTTGGCTGAAAAGAGTTGACCAGCTGTCATGATTTTTTTTCCCCCTAACTACCATGAGAACCTGAAATAGCTGTAGGTGGCTTCTGTTACTGTGCATGAAATGCGGTGGTATTCCAGGGAAGTTCCTGGTAGACTAATTTCAAACAATCATTTCATTTCAATACTTTTTTTTTAATGCTTATCTTCCATAGTACTGAAATCGTAGCTGAAGTACATTTGTTCCTGGGTATAGTGAAACTGAGAAGTTATGTCACTGGTTAGTGGCTTGTATACTGATGGAACATCAGAAAAGTGACCAATCCAATGCCTTGAAAGTGCTGAGATGGGTCAGCGTAGTGTTCCCTTACTGGTATAGAGGAACACAACAGCCAGAACACTTGTTTCTTCCATGTCAGGTAGTATTAAGCATGTTTATGACACAAAAAAGGAAACTGAATCAGATTTATTTTATATACTTTCTGTATTTCTTTGAATACAAAAAATACATGACATTAGGTAATTATAGCAATATGTATTTCAGTAGTGTATTGTGTACCTATCCTGAAAGATACGTCACAATATTAAAAATGTACAAATTGCCGTTTCAAATTTAGGCACAATTAGTCTCACTGCCAAGCAGCAACATTCTGTTTGGAAAAGTAATGTACAGGACGAGACAGAGGAACGGGCAACTGCAGCGGAGCCGTAACCCACTTCAGCAGATAATGCGGGCTGGTGAAGTCGGTGCCGCACGGAAATGGGTACAATCCAGTCATGGGCGTAAATTACCCCCCCAAGAAATCAGAACCAGCTAATACAACCTCCC